TCCCAGGATTTGGACTATTCTTGCCTCCACAACACTGCAAAGACTAGACTTTTGCTATGTATTGTATCCTGATCTATTGGATTGGATTGGATTGGATTGGATTATACATATGGCAAGCATCCTGTGGATCTATGGCTGATAATTATGGTTGGGTCTCGTCCCCAGGACTTGGACTACTCTTGCCTCCCCAACACTGCAAAGACTAGACTTTTGCTATGTATCCTGATCTAACATACTTGGTTGGATTGGATTGGATTATACAGATGGCAAGCATCCTGTGGATCTATGGCTGATAATTATGGTTGGGTCTCATCCCAGGATTTGGACTATTCTTGCCTCCACAACACTGCAAAGACTAGACTTTTGCTATGTATCCTAATATAACGTACTTGGATTGGATTGGATTGAATTGAATTGGATTGTACATATGGCAAGCATCCTATGGATCTATGGCTGATAATTATGGTTGGGTCTCATCCCAGGATTTGGACTATTCTTGCCTCCACAACACTGCAAAGACTAGACTTTTGCTATGTTTGGGATACTAGTTTGGATTAAAATAGGTATATAAAATAAAATTGATTATTTTAGTTTAATAAAATAAAATGTTACATTTAATTTATAATCATTTTATTTTTTCTTTTACCAAAAGTTAAAAAAATCAAAAAAATCTATTCCAAGCTTTTTAACCTCAAGTTAAAATAGTAAAAAAGTCAACTCACATCCAAACCAACACTTTGGTAGTTGACCTCAAGTAAACATCTACACCAATGTCGAACGCTAATAAAAAAATGAGACATTTACACACAAGTTCTAATTTATGAACTTATATTTCATTAAATTCTAATTAAGATTTTTTAGACTTTCAAATCCCATTAAATTTTCAATAGTTGGAATTATTCTTCAAACAATGATTGTTTATCATTTATGATTATCTACAAAAGAACATGATGATTTGACATTTATTTTGATTTTCAAAACTTTAAAATATCAACTTTCAAATTGAAAAAAAAGAAAAATTTATGTGCAAAAAAAAAAACTAATTTTTTTTGTAAAATTAAAAATTTTGTGTCTATAAAGGAACATGATGATGAAATATTGATGTGCAAAACTTTAAAAAAAAAATGAAAAAATTGATAATGTTCTCAGTTTTAAAATTGAAAAAAATTGTTAATGTTCTCGATTTTATTAAATAGTTGAATCAAACCAATAAGTAGAACGGCAAAAACCTTTAATCTCATGTTCTGTTTTTTTATCAGTTAGTGAAACAATTGTTTGGAACATTAGTATGCAAAATTGATAATGTTCTTAGTTTTAAAAATTGGAAACAACCGATAATATTCTCAGTTTTACTAAATAGGACTTATTGGTTTAAAAAATCTTAAATAGAACCTAAGCTACCATAACATTTGTAAATAGGACTTTTAGGAAATTAACTTTAAATAAATTTTGAAATTTGACATAAACTAATTCTACAAGAATTAACACTTTTGCCGACCAAAAAATTGGTCACTAAAAGCCCATTTTTAGTCGGCAAAAGTCATCCGCGACCAATTTTTTTGGTCGCTACTTTGGTCGCCAATTGAGGGTCGGCAAAAGTAATTCGCGACCAAAATTTTGGTTGGTCGGGAAAAGTTAGATTTGCCAACTAAATTGTTGGTCGCTAAATATATCATTACTGTGACTAATCCATTTTGTCGCTAAAATATTTTGGTCGCGAAAAGTGATATTTTGCTGACCATATATCTTAGTCACCAATTGTCACATTCCACGACCAAACAGATTAGTCTCCAAAAGTCGAGGAATCGCCGACTAACAATTTAGTCGCCAAAAAATAAGAAATTACCGACCAATGATTTTAGTCGTTAAAGTGTAGAATTTGCCAACTAATTTTTTAGTCGCCAAATCTCTTTTTTTTTCGTTTTTTTTTTTTTTTGGAGAACAATCAGTTTTTGTTTATAAAACTTCAATCCAATATTAAGCAGAAAAGGAAGCAAGGGTATTCCATGGTATTCCATTCTATCCAATAAACATGTCATGAAATATAAACATGGTATTCCATGGTATTCCAATAAACATGGTATTCCATGGTATTCCAATAAACATGGTATTCCATGGTATTCCAATAAACATGGTATTCCATGGTATTCCAATAAACATGGTATTCCATGGTATTCCAATAAACATGGTATTCCATGGTATTCCAATAAACATGGTATTCCATGGTATTCCAATAAACATGGTATTCCATGGTATTCCAATAAACATGGTATTCCATGGTATTCCAATAAACATGGTATTCCATGGTATTCCAATAAACATGGTATTCCATGGTATTCCAATAAACATGGTATTCCATGGTATTCCAATAAACATGGTATTCCATGGTATTCCAATAAACATGGTATTCCATGGTATTCCAATAAACATGGTATTCCATGGTATTCCAATAAAAAATATATATATATATATATATATTTGAGGTACTTTTGAGCATGAGAACCCAAATTAGTACCAAACTCAAGACCTGACCTACAATATTTAAACACAATATGTATGCAGAAAGTCATACTTACAAGCAAATTAGAAGAAACGTAGATCTAACAGTCAGATTACTATTACTACATTCCATATTCCTACTACATATGTATAACTTGAAATCACCACTAAACATCATCGTCATCAAGCCCTAACCTTGACCGACTTGGATGAGTTCCTCTTCGCAGGGGTCGAAACTTTCTTCTTCTTCTTCTTCAAAGCCTTTGGAGTTTTGAATTGGCTCAGCCTCTTCGTCTTCTCTTCATTTTTCACATCAGCTTTGTCTGTTTTCTCGGATTCTTTGATAGAAGCAGCAGCAGCAGCAACCAATTTCACGTTCTCGGATGTAGACACCTCGTACGAATTTTTGATTTTGACAAGTTTCTTCGATTTTACAAACTTCTTCAATTGAATCAACAACATTTTCTTGAAATTTGGAGGAAGCAGAGAGCTGTACTTTTCTTCCATGAATTTCGCGATCGCTGGTTGGCTCGAACCTGTGTGATCCTTCAATGACGATATTGCTTCGCTTATCATCTGCATCAAACAACAACAACAAAAATTTAAAAAATGTTTTCACTATTGATCCACAAGAACTAAAAGTAGAGAGAGAGAGAGAGAGAATGAGAGGACCTGTAAGTAAGGAGGATGGAGAGTTGAAGATGGATTGGTGGTGGTGGTGGTTTTGCCTGAGACAGCCATAGATTAGTAGCTTAGTTTTGCCAATTCTTTGGAAGAAGTCTTTTGTTTTGGGATTGATAGAGGAAATGGAGTCCCGTGCTTTGTTTATGAAGACTTTTAAGTTTGAAATTTCAATTTCAAAATTTATGTTTTGGCGGATATTTTTTTCATGTTTCCAATAATCCAACTGCCTGAATGATTTCAAGCCTAAATCATTTGATTGGATTAGTCTTTGCCTAGTTGAAAAGCACAAATACAGATTTTATTTTATTTTTAAACAATAAAAATATTTTTTATTTGGTTGCTGAAAATAAGTTTTTGGCGACCAAAATTTTGGTCACCAAAGATAAAAATAATTTTTTATTTTTCATTCGGCGACTAAATAGTTTTAGTAGCCGAAACTCAATATACGGTGACTAAAATATTTTTTGTGGCTAAAAATAAATTTTTGACGATCAAACTTTTGGTCGCCAATTCCACAACCAACTTATTTTTGATCTTCCGCGACCAACTTATTTTTTGGTCGCCAAAATGTGACCTTCCGCGACCAAATTTGTAGTTGGTCGCCAAAACCATAACACTTTCTGCGACCAACTCATTTTTTAGTCGCCAAAATATGACCTTCTGCAACCAACTCATATTTGGTCGCCAAAAATAATAATCATTCGCGACTAATTAATATTTGGTCGCCAAAAGGTAACTTTTACCTACCAACTTTATATTAGTCGCGGAAAGTGGTCACTAAAAGTACAGATTCTTGTAGTGTAAATAAGTACACTTATTTAGATAAATATAACAATGTAGGTCACATCACCTTTTTTATTTTTTTGATACATACTTTTATAAAAATTTTAAAAAATATATTTATTTAAATAATCCCAAATAATTATTATATTTATAAAATTTCTCATTGATTAATAATTATTTATTTAAATATATATTGAATTTTTTTAACAAAAAAATGGATGCGAGAAGACTCTCCATGGAAGCTCACTCCACTCAAGGCCGGCCTTGGCCTAAGGCCAGTAAGGCCTGTGCCTTAGGCTCCAAAATTTTGGCCCAAAAATAGGGCCCTAAATTTAATAAAATGTTAAAGGTTCAATGTGCGTTTTTTTTTTTTTTTTTTAGGATAAATTTAAAGGGCCCCAAAATTTTTTTTTGGGTCCATGAATTTAAAGGGTCTCAAAATATTTTATTGGGTCCATATATGGTTTAGTCCATATTTATTTATAAGTGTAGTTTGGTCTATATTTTTTTATAAGTGTAGTTTGGCCCATATTTATTGAAATGAAAATATATAATAATAAAAAAAAAAGTGTTTGGACCCAAGAAGAACAATTCATACAATATATGGGCCATAATTATTATTTTTTTTAACCTTCTTTATCTATTAGATTTTAGTGGAATAAATAATTTTGCCCCAATTATTTTACCTAAATCTTTATCAATTTTAATTGAATAAATTTTTCCTAATTTTTTTGCCCTAATTTTGTTTCATTAATTTGTTTCGTTTATAATTTTAATGATTATATGTGCAAGTAAATTTTTTTGTGGCTATAAACAAATAAAAAAGTTGCAACTTATCGTTTTATCCATGAACTTTTTTTTTTTTTTTAATGTAAGAGGGCCCCCATTTCCGAAATTCCCCTTAGGCCTCCTAAATCTCAAGCCGGCCCGGACTCCACTCCAGAGGATCCAAACACGAGAAATTTTGAGGAATGTAGTAGAAAACACAATTGTGTCTTTTTTTCTTTTTCCTTTTTTTTCAGAATTGATTTTTATTTAGGGTTATTTATACAAAGATTTCTTAAATTATTAAGATATATCACTTTAACTTTCTAAATTTTAAAAGCGTACAAATGATCCTTCTAAATTATTGAGAAGTATTGCTTTATTTCCGTAAACTATAAAAACATACACATAAACCCTTTAGACTATTGATGTATTTTACTTTGACTTTTTTCATTAACGGTCACATTTGTACGTTTTTATAATTTAAAAACATTTATACACTTTTACAATTTAGCAGGCAAAGTGAGATACTTTTCAATTGTTTAGAGGATTTATTTGTACGATTTTATAGTTTACGAGATCAAAATAATATTTCTCAATAGTTTAGAAGATTTTACTATACCCAATCAACTAGTAATTATTTTTTTATTTAGTTACAAAATCAAAGGGAAATTTATATATCAGTGGTACATCTAAAATTATTACATATTTATAGAAGAATTTACAACTTTAATCAATAAAGTGTATAAAATTTATCATAAATTTATAATTATTTTTTTAAATTGATATTGATTTGTTATTTTTCCAAAACCAAAATACAACCCAAAATAGGTGGTTTCCATGTTGATTCGTAATTGCTATTAGGCAATCTCTGGCACTTGCTAAAAAATTTATTCAAATTTAAGTAAAAGTTTTATTTAACATCAGATAAATTCATATTAAGGCGTAAATTTAAATTAGTGGCTAACTTGAGATTCGCAAATTAATTTTAAGAGAAAATTATTAAAAAAAATCCAACTTAGAGAGGGTATAAAGCATCAAATTCAGTGGTCATTTTTTTATTGGTGAGAGATCACTCTTTATAAAATAATTTGGAAAAAAATCATTTTGTTTGTTTTGAATGCCATTTTGTTATCAATTTTACCTCTTAATTTATCTGTTTAATTTTTTTTGACTACCTATTCAAATTTATATATATCTTTTCAAATTATTTTATATCTGTTCAATTTTTTTTGACTATCTACTTAAATTTTTGACTATTTGTTCAATTTTTTCTCTTATCTGTTCAAATATCTATCCAAACTTATTATTTGTTCAATTTTTTAATTTTATTTATCTATTGAAAATGAGAGAAAATTTCATGAAAATTTTCGAAACATACAATTTTGACAACAAGCAAGATTTTCTAATACAATATTATGCTGTAATATATATATATATATAGAGAGAGAGAGAGACAGAGTGACAGGAACAGAGATAGAGAGGAGAATATCGAGTCTTACTCTTCCATAACCGTCGGTTTGATTTGCTGAAAAAGCTTGATCGACCTTGATCCTTGAATTAGTGTTCCGACATTTAATTTGACTGACTAAGCTTCCTCTATCTATGGCTTTGGAGGACAACCTTGTCGGAGATGATGATGTCGAGCCAGCGTTGGAGAGGTTCCAGATCTTTTAGATCTGAGGCATTACCATTCTATGTTCATCATCAGCATCATCTTTGATCAGAGAAGATTTGAAGAGAGAGAGAGAGAGAGAGAGAGAGAGAGAGAGAGATCTAAGATTTGAGATCTAAGGAATGAGAGAGAAAGAGGGCTACTTGAAAGAGAAATCTGAGGAGTGCAATGGGTGGTCGGTTATGATGTCCCGGGGTTTTGGGCTTGAGTTGTATGCTTTTCTTTTGGTGTTTTGTTTATCGTATGAGGTCATTGAGACTCATTTTCTACTCCTACTTAACCTCTCTTAACGTTTCCCGATTGAAATTTTTGAGTTTTAGGCATTGGAACTTGCCTTGGTTTGCAAAATCACTCTCTGAGTTCTGGGCAAAACCGCTTGTGCAGAATTAAAAACCACCCGAGCAGATCCTCACAGAGTTTTTCAAAATTTTCAGAGTTTTCTAGGCGGAAAATTGCTCGAACAGATTTTGGGTCCTGCTTGAGTGGATTTTGAGTAATTTTCTAGGTAGCTCTCTGGAGCAATCCATCCTTAAGGCAAAAATTTCCACTCATGCGGATTGGGAATTCCGCTCGTGTGGAATTGAAATCGCTCGGGTGGATTTTGGTGCATCCGTCTCGAAATTCGTGCTCTTTTCCTCAAAACTAATGCCAAAAGTGTTTTTTTGCACAGATTTCTCTCTCTCTCTCTCTCTCTCTCTCTATATATATATATATATCTATTCTCTCCATTCTCTCTAAAAACACACTAAAATCCAACTTTTCTCTAAGATTAAGCTCCAATCTTTAAGAGTTTGAGAGGGCTTTCCACACCAAATCGAAGAGGCCGACGAGACCTACGTTTATAATCGATTGAATCGTGTTTTCGCCAACGTTGATTTCTAGGATTTTCTTTCTCTTCATCTCCCAAGCTTGAGGTAGGGATAATCTTTGTGTTATGTATACATATTTGCAAGATCATGTTTTGAGATATGATTTTGGGTTGTTGAACCCTAGATGATGTTAGAGGTTGATTTCATCTACTTTTCCTAAAGCTTTTGAGAATATGAGCATGTTCTAAGGTGTGGGTGTTGTTTTTGGAAAAATCTTTTTAACAAAAAAAAAAGAAAAAAAAAAGAAAAAAGGAACAAAAACCTTGTTTTGATGAAAACCCTAAAATTTGGGAATTTTGAGAAAAGGTTGTGATATTATGAAGTTGATACTTGATAATTTACTATGTGAGTAAATGATGGAGGATATTCTATAGTTGTATCAAATGAAGAGATTTCATGAGAAATTGTAGAATTGGAAAGCTTGAGTAATAGCTTATTGGTGTTATTTTGGAAAGTCCAAATGCTAAAAATGATGTTTAACATGTGGAGAATACATGAATGTTGATATTGTTATATTGTCTCTTGGAAAAATATACTATGATGTTATTTTGATAAGAAATGTGGGATTTGATTACAATAGAGGATTGTGTAGATGAATTGAGAAATTTTAAGGCATTGATATATAAATATAAATATATTGCATTGGCACTTGATTTAATTATCATCACCTTTCGAATTGGTATTGTCGAGATGTTTAAGTGAAACTTTATTATTGCATTGGACATTTGTATCGCCATTCCATTTTGTCATTGGTGTAATGGATTTTGAATATTGCATTGGAAAAGGTATTGTTTTGAGAAAGGAAATGATTTTGTGAAACAAGATCATATTGATTTTTTTTTTTTGGGTAAATACGTTGGTAAGTCCGGATAGAGGGTGTAGTTGGTATTGGTTAAGTTGGCCTGAGTGTCCATGGTGAAAGATCGGAAACACGCGCGGAGGAGGTACCATGTGCCTTCCGGTTAGCTACTAGTAAACTGGGGATTGGTAGTGCTTGTTATGTCTACTTGCAAATACCAACCTAGGG